AATGTTAATTTAAATATTTTTGTTCATCTAAATGCTAATTTTATAATTATAAAATATTGATTAAAATACTGATCTGGAAACTAGCACCTATAGATGTAATCTTTTAATATGTTGACATAATTTAATGTTTTGGTTCACAACAATCCTCTAATTGTTCATAACACTGGTAAATTAGAGAGCCCAAAGAAAGAGGAATTATTCTGAATAACCTGATCTGAGTCACAATACTCAAATAATCAAAAATGTTCCTCTATGAGGACTACGGGTTATGTGAGGGTGAGGAACTCTCTCCGCATTACTACTAATCTGTTCCCAACAGTTGAATGTGTTCATCTACTGTGCTGAGAGTCAACTATGATAAACTAAAATTATTGCTGTTGTTATTGTTATTTGTGATCCTGGGATTGCATCCAAGGCCTTGCACCTGCTAGGCTCACTTTCCAGTACTTGAACTGCACTCAGCCCTTTTGTAGATTTTTGCTGGTTCTTGCTCTCCCTGATAACTTTGCCTAGACTTGACTCATTCATGGTTCCCCTTCTCCCTCTCAAATAGCTTGGATTACAGTCGTGAGTCACCATGCTATTCTTAAATTTTAATTCTTAAAGGTATTAAAAATAATAACTCATAGGAATCTAAAATGAAAATGGACACACCCAGTAATTATTTCCACTCATTCTCAATTTTCCTATGTTTTGTTATTTTTTACACATTGTCTTTGGTTTTATGAACTCCTTTTCATTCAACATTCACTTAATCAAAATGTTTTAAAGACATCTACCATAGATATGCAAACTTACTAGCTTGGAAGACTTGTCTGAAATACAAGTCCATTGAATCCAGTATAGTAAACAGACAGGAAACAGTTAAATTCCTCAAAAGGAACCCACACAGAACAAACAGTTCACACCAACCCCACCCACAATCCCCTCCCTATCCAGCCACCCCCCCCAAGCTATATGCCTCTAAGACTTCACAGGTAATGTCCATTCAAACAGAATGAGTTCAGATAACTTAGAATTATGTGTGATTATAGAGAAATACTTCTACTGAGAAAACGTACTCAAAGCTGCAGATCACTTTCAAGCTTCTGAGGGGATTTGTTTTTAGAGTAAAATTATCTTAAAAGGAGAGTTATAATACATAATTATTATTTTCCTTACTAGAACACATTGCAATTGTCAGAGCAAAAAAAATGCACTGGACAAGACTAAACAATTAAAGAACATTTTATTCAGAGCTATTGCCACAGGGGACAAAGAAAAATTTAGACTCAGTCTTAAAAAATTTACTTTGCTAGCATGAAAGGCTGGAGATACTTTAAGAGTTGATATTGGAAAGGGGGCACAATCTGTGTTTGATAATCTCCTTTACCCCAGCAGCCAGTGTTTGCATGAGAAGAGGTACTTGTGCAGGGTGGAATAAGGTTCCTTTAAAGGTAAGCATAAATCTTTGGTAGAACCTGAGGCACAGGCTCCATCTTCTCTGATGGCATAACACTGTTTAAAAAATATTTACATCTTAAAGGGAGATGAGAAAGGACAGATATGACTAATTTTCTAAAGTACATGCTTTAAGAAAAGGGAGGTCTAAACATACCTAAGCTGAGAGGACATTTTTGGTCACAACCCAGGGAAGGAAAGAAAAAGAAATGTACCAGCAGTTCAGTTGTACATAATAAAAATATGTTTTGCTTTTAAAAAGTAATTGCTGATGACATTAGAGCTCTTATTATTGTATGTAAATGTAGAGAAATAATTCTTGTAGAGAAAACTTACTCAAAATTGTAGGTTGGTTTTAAGGTTCTGAGGAATTGTTTTATTCAGAGAAAAAAAATACCTTAACAAAAATGTTGAAATACATACTTGTTTATTCTATAAGCTTATGTGAGCCCTGTATTTGGGGGAAATGTAAGATTTGTGTTTATTTGGTTGAGAAATAGGGAGAATATTAAATGCTACAGAATGAACTAGATCTAATAGAGAAATGGATTCTCCAGACTGGAAGGAAATGCAGAGAGCCTTTGTATGAATGCATCATCAACCATGATATATTTAATATATAGACATGCACACAAACATATATACCGGTGGGCATAGAATATTACCAGTAGATGATAGCATATTATGATAGCAACTCCAGGATGAAGAATTTCCAGGCGGATTTCACGTGGATCAGTCTCCAAAACAACATCATTTTTCAAAGGCAAAAAGCTGAAAGTCAGTCAGTGTGTTTAATGAGCGTATATTGGGCTGGACCCTAAGGCAAACTTTTGGAAACAAAAAAAAATAGGGTCAGTATTTTATTGAATGGATGTAATGTCATATTTTTTATTGTGAGTTGGTATTGAAAAAACTAAAAAATGGCAAGAAGAAAATTTGAGATTTTACTAGTTGTTAGAGTCTCTCTGTTAAAAACGAATATTATAATCTGACTTGTTCAAATATAGACCTAAGTGCTGGAGAAGGAAGAAAATATGAGCCAGTTACATTTACTTGAAAAGTAACTTTGTCTTTTGGTTTTACAATTTGATTTGGGTTATGATTTATAATATTCAGAAAAAGGGAGCAATATTACCCACCCATGATTTAGTGTTCATTTTCTGTTTTTCTATGATTAGTTAAAATAATTTTAATACCTATCATAATAGAATATCAAGGAGAATTATTAAAGCACATGGAAATTCTATAGAATTTAAGTTTCCCTGTCTGTCTGTGAAGAATTACAGACACACAACTGCATTCATTCATTTATACGGAGCCCTCAAAGCCTTAAGCTAACTATACAACTCTTATAGGAACTTGGCAGATCTCTGTCTTAGACATTTATTTCAACATTAAATTTTATCACCCTTGGTGACAATGTTATGAAGAACTCTCTTTCATAGTTTGAGTACAAACTGCTGCTTCTATGGCATTGATTTCACTTGACAGATGAGCAAGCATGTCTGAAAAGTCCCACAAAGGCTCTATGACTTCTCTCGTTTCTAAGTGACATATATCCCATGCCTGTGCTTTAGCCATCCTATTTGTTATTTGCTGTATGGGCTACAGGGTAACACAATTTGAGATTTAATTTCCATATATATATATATATGTTTCCAATTATTTATTGTTTCAAAGATTTAAGAAAATCAGGTTCAATAGTACTTTCTTTTTTTCTATTTAGATTATCTCAGTTATCATTTCCAGTTTACCAATTTTAATCTTCATAATGAAATCTAACAGTAGTGTGATGAATCTCTCATGTGAAAATCAATAATGACAAACAGAACCAGAAATTAAAATATTCTTGCACAAACATTCTCTCCCATTTGTCTTAATCATCTTTTCCATCATACCACTATAGTTTTGAAAAGCAGATGTTTAGCTTATTGTGATATGGTCTGGAAATACTTTTATGTAGCAATCCCTTTTGTCTGTGATCTTGATTCATAGCTTTTCATCTGGATTATTTTATTGCTCTGCTTTCCTAATAAGTTTTAGACAACCAATCATCATAGAACGTTGTATTTCAACTTGACTTCGTGGTTCCAGATGTTGATGCCGCATGCACCTGCCTTTCAGATATGCTTAAACATAACTTGGCACAAAATAATTGCATTTACTTCTGTAGGAATTTTAAAGCATTCTGTTTTGAGAAAAACTTTTACCTGAGAACAGAAATGTGTGATTTTTCTTTTTGTAATATAAATAATCTGCATGGCTCTTTCAAACATAGTTGTGGATTTGCATTCATTTGAAAAGAAATGAAAATGAATTTTTGACACATGATTTATATGTGTGTATGCATGTGACATTATTTATATGATCACACTTTATGTAAAATAGAGTATATATCACATATGCTTCAGTAGATGTCATATATATAATATAGCATATATACCTTGTATTCTATTTATTTATCTATATTTTAAAATTTATTTTGATTGACACCTGGATTGAGTTGGTATGCATGTACACCTGTGTCTATGCCAATCATATTCTCATACACATACTTGGTACATTTGCATTGTAATTGCTTTGATGTTAATATGTAGAAGTCAGTAAAACATGCTTACTATTTCACACCATTTATTTCAAGTTATTTATTGATTTCAGTAAATTTTGTTTTCTCAATGGTCACAGTGAGATTGGAAAGCATAAAAAACATGCAACTCTGGGTCTGTTAGATAAAGGGGAGCATACTACAGTCACAAATATCTCTACATGTTATGTATATAATTACTACTGATGTTCACAGATGATGCTTCAGTAGACAACGTTAAACTGTCTTTGGATTGATTTTTGTCAATTTCTTTATGGTTTCATCCAGTCACTATGTGTGAGGAACACTTCAGCATGGTTAATCCTCTCTGAAAATTAGTATAAAGTAGATTCTAGACTACAAGTTCCAATCATCTAATATAAGCATACAGTGTGTGTGTGTGTGTGTGTGTGTGTGTGTGTGTGTGTGTGTGTGTTGATTGATTGGAGAATAAAGAAGGCAGGCTTGATGATGCTTTATGGAGAATGGCTGTTTTCAGTCTGGACAATCTCAGTGTGCCTGACACTGACACTACAGTTTGAACGCCTGACAGTTCACCCTCTCCATGTAGGCCCCAAGCTAAGGTGCTTCCTAGTGCGAAATTGAACGGACAGTGATGTTTCTCTTCTTTTTGCTTGTGAACTCCTGAGTAATGCACTTGCATGATGTGGTTGAAGGATATGCATATGAATGTCTTGCTGCAAAACATTTTTAAATCCGGTGTCTCTCAAATAAAAATGTACATCTGTCCAATAGAGCGAGCGGTGGAAGTTACCTCCATAGTGCTTCCCATAGTCTTGGAGCCAGAAGAGCAGCAAGGTCCTGATTGGCATAACCACTTATTAGCTTTGAACGCTGATGCTGCACTTTCACGGCGGAGACCTTCCTATGCCTATTGACATTCATAAACGATAAGGTTGTGCTCTGCTGACTGTCTAATTGGCAATTTAATTTTCCTAATAACTGTCCTTTACAGGAACTGGATTTCGAAGCCAAAACAAGTTACACGCTCCGCATCGAAGCTGCGAACAGGGATGCCGACCCTCGCTTTCAGAGCCTGGGGCCTTTCAGTGACACAACCACGGTGAAGATCATTGTGGAGGATGTGGACGAGCCCCCCGTGTTTTCCTCCCTCCTGTACCCCATGGAGGTGTCAGAAGCAACTCAAGTTGGCAACATCATTGGCACTGTAGCGGCTCACGACCCAGATTCTTCCAACAGCCCTGTGAGGTAAAACCTTGATCTCCTCTTCTATTGTTTTTGCCTCCACATAAGGGTACACACTACTCTTGGAGCCATGAGGATGCTCTATAGTGATTCTTCATTCATAACAAAGGTAAAAACCCACTTATGCTCCTACAGAAGCATCTCATTTCCTTATGAAATCATCTCAGCAGAAAGGAAACAGGATCAAAGCAATGTAAGATTTTACTAACTCAAAAAGGTTCTCCAAGGGCATCATTGTTGAGAGCCCTATTTTTAAGTACTAATGTCATGTCAGGGACTAATCACCTGATCTGATTAAATTGGGGGTTGATTAACTCACTTTTATAGTGATCTGTTTGGAAAGTATGCATTTTTTACTTTATTTCTATCTATAAAAATAAAATAATTCCTTGTATATTTATAAGGATACCTACAACGATACTTTAAAAATACTTAAAATTCCCATTAGGCAGACTTATAGCTAGATTAGACATACTTTATAGTCAAATAATTTCATTGATCTAATATAGTTGTTTATAAACTTTTTTCTAATATACCAACTTTCAAGTTTGTTCTGTTAGCCATCAGTCTAGAATCTAAGGTATGTCTGGGACCATATGTGTACACATGTGTGTTTGTATGCACACGTGTAAGTGATACATCATCACTTCAATTAATTTTATGAATGAAAGGAAGCTGGAAAATATGAACAATGAATTAGACAATTTGAGCTTTTAAGTGTGAGAATGTAATCTTTAAACTGAAATTAGGAGATAAAAATAAGATTGTTATATCAAATATGTTCAATTTATAAGCTAACCTCAGATTTTTAGATTTAGTATTTTTTTAATGAAATCTTGGCATTGTTTGAAAAGTGTCAGGCCAAGTATACATAATTCTTCCCTTAGTCCTTCCTTTCCTTCTTTTCTCCCCTAGCAGGACTTAGCAGAATTCCTATGAACTCACACTCCTTAGGGTTTCCCCATCTCTACAAAATGAGGAGGATATTCCCTTGATATGATAACAATGTAGTCTGTGTGCTAGAATGATTTTGAGCCTAAAGTACACTTTCTCTTTCACTTTAATAAAGTAGATTCCTTTGTCTAAGATACTTCTCCATTTTCAACTTAGCCCAATCGGCCTGTATACACTGACTTGGGCAATCTTCATTTGTGTTTTATTTTGGCCTTCCATGTTCTGTACGAATATCCAAGTCTCCTGCCCTCATGAACACTCAAAACCAGCCATGTTGTAGGCATGGATGCTGTGTGCCCTCATCCCTGTGCAGGCTGGCCACTGCTCTTCCCAGCATGACCTAAGAGATGTTACGAATGTCTTATGATTTCCTATGAGCCAGCATAAAGAAAAGTCAGTGCTGCATACTTTATTCCAGGAGCTTTGTGGAATGTTTTTATTATTATTATTATTTATTATATAAGAAAGGAAATGTAGATGATGCATTAAATTGTGGACTTTGACAAATACTATCCAGTGTTGCTATTATATATTTTGATTATATATTATAAGCATTGGGGTTTTGAATGCCATTGTATTTCAAGATCAATGAGGTCAATGGAAGGAGACATATTTTATTTATAGTGAAGAATACCATGCATACATTAAAGAATAGATAATAGTAAATAATGTATATGAGTAAACATATACTTTCACTGATTTATCAATTAAATTTCAAAATTATACTTCCTTCAGTATTAAGCATGGTAGGCAAAATGTCCAGTTTTCTGAGGCACCATGAATCCTGAGTCCCCAGACTGAGATGTAGCAGTTCTCTTGAAGCTATAAGCTTTGTGCTTCTATATATTTAGAACTTCTTTGATGATTGAAAAAGCAGTATTGGTTTTACTCTAATAGTTTTAAATTAGGCCAATAGTACCAGATCTGCAAAAAAGAAAAAGAAAAGGCACCACAACTGGATAAAATTTAACCGTCTTGTTATATAATACTGAAGTATAGAATACAACACTTTATGTAGGAAATACTTACTGTTATGTGGAGCAAGAGATTGGAATTCTTGAAAGACATATGCTTCTGTCCCTTCAGCAAGAAAAGAGAGAGAAGCTCTTTCCACCTGATCCTTAGTTGGTACAGCACTGGATTTTTTTTTTACCTTCTTCCCTAAAGTGAAAATCAAAGGCTAAGTTGTAGCTCCTCTATGAGCATCTGCTCTTTCCTGAAAAGAAACTGGGCCAAGCTCATGACCATCAGAACACTGACATTTTAACAGTTTATGAGTATAGTATTTATAGTTGAAGAGATTAAATGAATCTAGAGGCCAGAACATAACATTATTAGGACATCTGATACTTTTGTATAGGTTTTCATTTCCCCCATTCAGATAGTTCATGTAGATCTAGATCACTATTTCATGAATATTTTGACTTTCTTTTTCCCATATAGAAATAAACAGTATGGTCACCTATAAAGGCAAAACCTAAATTACTTTTAACACTTTAAAGCAAACTTAATGATTGAAAGCAAGCATGTTTCTACTTTTTAAAAAATAATTTATGTTGATTTTGGCCCACAGTACCAAATATCAAATATCTGTGGAACATGGAAGGCTGGACATTGCTCAGCTGATTCTGACCATTTCTTTGAATGGTAGACACTCCACTTCTGAGTTTCTCATCCAAAACCTTAAGAGCAACCCGAGGAGCCTAGAGACCCAAGGACTTCACACTCGTTCATTATGCCACCCATGTAGACTGATCAATGCAATATGCATTTATTAAGAATTTGGGGAGGAGAAAGGAAAAAACAAATTGTTTAAATAGGGATACAGATTGACCCATTGAAACAATGAGATAGATGTACAAGATGCTATGTTGAAAAATGAACTTTACAATTTATGTGGAGCAGGGAGCTGTAGCTGAGGAAGTGGGAGGGAAGGGATGGTAGGGGAAAAACAAAGAAGGAGGCAACAATGCTGGATAAGAAATGTGCTCATTACCTTGCTCATGTAACTCTAACCCCTCTGTACAGTATTTTCACAATAAAAAAAACTTAATTAACAGAAAAGAATTTTCTCTGAGCAAGGTATTGGAGAAAATGTTCTATATGAAACAAAGCTGAATAAAATATTTCCTCTGAACTCTAGGAGCAACCAAGCTCAGTGAAGTAACAAGATCCCATAAAAGTTAAAAAAAATATGAGGAGGAAAAAATTAGTAGTGCAGTAACAGGACAAAGTGGGAGAGAAATCCGTAGCACACTGAGTCCACTGGGCACAGGGCTTCATTTGAATGAGTGATAGCATACGCATGGCAGAAGCTGGATAAGCCAAGGAAGTATGATGCCAAATATGTCTATGTTTTATTTAGGTATAGGAGAAGAGCCTAGTGCTGAATTAGGAAATCAGCAGATTCATTTCCGCAGGCTACAGAGCAATCCCAAAGATCCAAAGTTAAAAATAGCCAGTGGCTTGAAACATGATTGCATCACAAAGGAGATGGTTTATTAAGAAAGGAATATCCATTCTTTTCAGGATTTCTATCCATTTTAATAGAGAACTATAGTCATACTCATGTTCAAAGATAGGTAGACAGAGTTTACCAACCTGAGAGCCTGTTAACATTGCGTTTATTGTATGTTCTCAGATGAAAAGTCATAAAACGGGCTCAGAAGTGACATTATCCAGTGGGCCTAGTATGAACATATTTGGGAGATCTGAATAATTCAGCATGTGTTTTTCAATGCCTTGCATACATTCACTCATTTCGTACACTATTCTAAATCACTTAGAAATATCTAGCTTTTATAAAAACACATAGTGAACTAGGAACACTGAAAATGGTATTACCAACAAAGCTGGGTTATCTACAAAGTAGCAGAAATCAGTTCTGTGCAGAGAATTTGAGTTATGCTTTCTTTTAAAATGTTGCTCATTTTAGCATAATTACCACTAAAAAATGTAAAAGGAAAGTGAAAACAAAGACATGTGCATTGTTAGACTAGAATATTTATTATGTTTAGATCATTTTCAAAGCCTGTAAAATAAGAAATGTGTAATTTAATTTTTTTTGTGAATAATATTGTTTTAGAATTAGAGTGGTGCTCCCATCAAAGATCTGAGTTAGTTTTCTCAGACACCTCAAATCAGATGAACTTTATTCAAAATTTCATGTTTCGTAATTCACCCTCCATTTTCTCTAAAACTATTGAAAGATTAATAAAGCAACACAATATTCTATAATCTTTTTCATGTGAGGGAGAATTATTCATGGGATTGGAAGATTAGAAGTAGCTACTTACATAACTTCTATTGTCTTATTAACAACCTTTAATTATAATCAACAGAAATTAGCTAAGATAATTAATAGAAAGTTGGAATTTTCTTAAATAATTGCACCAAACTCATAAAAAAAAGAAAGAGAAAAGTTGAATCATATGTCTTCAGAAGAGAGAGAAGTAAAGTGCACTTATAAGTAAGAATAGCAAAAGCAGAGTCTCTTTCAGGATGGAGCTGCTTAGGATAAATCATACCTAACCCCTTTTCTATAGACTTGAGGTCAGGATTCAGAGTTTTTGAAGAGGGTTTGGTTTATTGTGAAGTATGGGTCATTTCTAACCCAGCATGCACTGAATACCTACACTAGTGCCAACACTGCTTGAGCCTGAGAAGGTTTGAATTCCCAAAAAGATCTGGTTTGCTTTTATCAGAATAAGGCAGAGAGACAGAGTGGCAAACAGGGTATCTTCTGTCATGGTGCAGGGAATTCTGCAGTTTTTGGAAGTAATTTTCTTTTCACTAAATAATACCAAGAAAGGTATTTTTGTTTCTACATTACAAATAAATGTGCCTGTGCTGCCAGGGTTGACAAATATGCTAGTAAAGAATTCTACTATTGTGCATAAATGAATGTGCTTGCACACCCACACCACAAGTGTTCAAATTGCTTCATTGTTTCTATTGTTAAGATTTGGCCATGCTTTCTTATTCCATTATCCCTTGCCACATTTGAAGTACTGATCATATATTTGTGCTCACCTAGACCCCCCTACATG